CAGGGGCGACTCACCCTCCATGTCGCAGCACAGGGTCGCCTTCTCACCATCCACTCTGACCCTGATCGCACCCTCCCGATCATCCCAGTACTCAGCGCTGTGGGATTCCGGTTCTCAGGGCGACTTCATTCACCCATGCGTGGTGAAAGAAGCCCGCTTACCCACGACAGGGTCTCCGACTCCCATCTCCGTTACCTTAGGGGATGACAAGACCCAGCGCTTCTTCGACCAGACGGTCACCGATCTCCCTTTCTTCCTCACTCTCGAGCCGACTGATCGTTCCCCGGCGTCTCGTCGCCACCACTCCTCTGCACATTTCGATGTGATGGAGACGGGGTACGACTTCATTCTCTACACTTCGTGGTCTCGCCGGTTCCGCAGCACCGAGGCCGATTGGGCGACCAACACTCTCGTTCTCAAAATGAAGTGTGGACAGACGTATCGCGTACCTTTCATAGGTACCACCGCGACACCACGCCCCGATCCTCCTCCCCCGGAGCCTTCCGCGTCCACACCATCTCCTTCTATCACTGTCACCTCGCCTCGGCAGTTCGCTCACTTCATCCGACAGGACGACGTCACCTTCTTTATGGTGAACGTGACGGATCTCTTACACTATGATCCACCCTGTCCTGACGCCGAGCTTAACCCTCTGGAGCCAGATCCTCCTTCTATCTCCATGGCTCTCATTTCTACCTCCGTCCTTCCGCAGTCTGTCGAGTCCACCCCGCCGTCGCGCGCTGATGCTGACGCTGAGGAACTCGCACGATATACGGCTCACCTGGAGCCCGCAGTTCGTGACCTCATCTGAGAGTACCACGACGTTTTCCCTTCGTCGTTCTCGTACGCCGACATCCCACCGATGCGTGACGTCGAGCACTCCATTCAGCTTCTGCCTGACTATCGTGTTCACCACCAGGCACCCTACAGACTCTTGATCCCCAAGGCCACCGAACTCAAGCGTCAGCTTAAGGAGCTCTTGAGACTGGGTTTCATTAAACCCAGCAACTCCCCGTGGGGTGCACCCGTCCTCTTTGCTCGCAAAGCGGATGGAACTCTCCGTCTCTGCATCGACTATCGGCCTCAACCGCTACACGGTTAAGAAAAGCTACCCCATGCCTTGTTCCGACGAGCTGTTCGACCGCCTAGCAGACAACCGCTTCTTCACGAAGATTGATCTTCGTAGCGGTTACCATTTAATCCGTGTCACTGCAGCCGACCAGCCGAAGACAGCGTTCCGATCGCGCTTCGGCCACTACGAGTTTACGGTGATGCCATTCGGCCTCACCAACACACCCGCTACCTTTCAGAGGGCGATGAACGACATCTTCAGGGACATCCTGGAGCAGTATGTTCTTGTTTACCTCGACGATATCCTGGTCTACAGTCGTACCCTTGAGGAGCACCTCAGACACCTCCGCGACGTCCTTGACCGCTTGTGCAGACATGGCTTCTACGCCAAGCTGAGCAAGTGCCGCTTTGCCCAGCACAAAGTGGACTTCTTAGGACATTACGTGTCTGACCAGGGTCTCCACATGGACGATGCGAAGATCACTGCTATTGTGGAGTGGCCCGCTCCCACATCTGCCAAGCAGCTTCGCAGCTTCCTAGGCTTGACCAGCTACTATAGTAATTTCATCCGGGGATACGCTAGGTATTCATACATCCTTACCTCCACCCTCCTCCGGAAGAACCCACCCTGGGCTTGGACACCCCTCCACGAGGACGCCTTCCGCGCCCTCAAGAAGGCGGTGACATGCACACCGGTTCTTCACCTACCCGATTTTTATCGCCCATTTATCCTTACCACCGATGCATCAGACTTTCCTGTAGGAGCAGTGCTTTCTCAGGTCTTCTCCTCCTCTCCTGATTCCTTTCATCCTCGTATCCCTCGCTTCCCACCACCTACCCCTACCACTGCCTCCTACCTGACGCCTACTCGTCCAGCTACTGACGAGCCTTCTATTGATTATTCTCCTACCATCGCGAAGGACGGCATTGTCGAGTCTCGCTCAGGTGATTGTCCGATAGTCTTCTACTCCCGTCAGCTTCTGCCCGCCGAGATAAACTACACTGCTGATGAACGTGAGGTTCTCGCAGTAGTTTATGCCACTCGGCACTGGCGTCACTACCTGGACGGGGCACCATTCACGGTGCGCACGGACAACTCTGTTGTCCAGGCTTTTCTGACAAAGTCAAAGCTCACTCCTCGACAGGCTCGTTGGTGGCGCGACCTATCCGAGTTTAGTTTCACCACTGAGCACATCAAGGGTGAGACTAATCGGGTCGCAGATGCCCTATCCCGACGCCCTGACCACGACCAGGAGAACATCCAGCTCTCTTCCATCCCGGTCACCACCGTCCACCACTCGGTGATCGACGAGTTTCGCACTCAGTACCGCCACTGCCCCGACTATCGCGACATCCACGCGACCCTTCGCAGTGGCGAGACCGTCCCGAACTACTCTCTCGGGGACAACGGTCTTGTGTACTGGCACGGTTCACAGGGCACCAAAGAGCCCCGTATTTGTGTTCCCTCCACTGGACAACTACGTGTCCGAGCAGTAGCGGAGTTCCATGACCAGGCAGCTGCCGGTCATATGGGCTTCCACAAGACGTTGGCTCGTGTGAGCCGCCTGTCCGTTTGGCCGAAGCGCAAGGACTTTGTGAAGGACTACGTCGCAGAGTGTCCCACCTGTCAGGAGGTGAACAGTGCGAACCACCTTCCTTATGGTTTGCTCCAGCCTCTTCCTATCCCTGAGGGTCGTTGGCAGTCCATCTCGATGGACTTTATCGGTCCCCTTCGTCCTCCGACCCCTCGCGGTCATGATGCTATCCTGGTCTTCGTAAACCGCTTCACGAAGCGTGCACGCTTTGTTCCGTGCCGCTATGCCATCAGTGCATGTGAGGTCGCCGACATCGTGTTTGACCGAGTCGTGCGTGACCACGGCTTACCTCTGAGCATCATATCTGACCGTGACCCACGCTTTACCAGCCGATTCTGGCGACGGCTCCACGAGGTGTACGGCACCCAGCTCCGCTTCTCCTCGTCTTACCATTCTGAGACGGATGGTCAGACCGAGATCACGAACAAGACTCTCGGAGATATTCGTTTGTGACGACCAGCAGTGGGATCTTCATCTTGCCCACACGGAGATAGCCTACAACCAAAAAATTACTTCCTCTGGCGAAAGGATTTACCCGCGCGGACCTCATCATCATCATCGTCATCATCATCATCATCATCATCATCATCGTCATCATCATCATCATCATCATCATCATCATCATCACCATCATCATCATCATTGTCATCATCATCATCGTCAGCATCACCGTCACCATCGTCGCTCCTTCCACTTCTCACGCCGGACTCTCTCTCTCTCTCTCTCTCTCTCTCTCTCTCTCTCTCTCTCTCTCTCTCTCTCTCTCTCTCTCTCTCTCTCT